TGGTAAAGGCAGGGTTTCAGGGATGGGGTGGGGGTGGGGGTGCTGGGTCTGGATGGGCTGTTTTTTGGAAGGTTGATGTGGATTCAATAGGCCAAATGGCCTCTTTGTGCACTGTAGGGTTTCTAGGAATCTATAAAAGTTAATGATTTACTCAAAGAATGCAAAATCCCCAATATCCCTATTTGTTGGAATCAAGTGAATAGAAAACCCTGACCAGGCTTCTGTACTTAACTAGAACCACTGTTTATCACAAAAACTCTGATTACAAGTAAACAGCTGTGAAATATGGCTCACACACAGCCTACTGCGAGGTAGGGTCACTTGACTTGAAATGTTAACTCTGATTTCTCTCCACAGATGCTGCCAGACCTGCTGAGTTTTTCCAGCAATTTATGGTTTTCTTTTCTGATTTACGGCATCGGCAGCTCTTTCAATTTTTATGGAATATGGCTGTATTGGTTCAAACACTAGTCCCTTTTTGAACTCCCCAACACACATACAGACAGGCGCAAACAACAAAACATTGGTTTTATTGGTGTAATCACAGTCAATTAAAGGGAAATACAGTCAATAGCACCAGCCCACAGGGTTTGATGATTTTTTAAAAAATTCATTTGTGGGATGTGTGTGTCGCTGGCTGGCCAGCATTTTATTGCCTGTCCCTAGTTCTCTTTGAGAAGGTGGCGGTAAGCTGCCTTCATGAACCGCTGCAGTCCACTTGGGTTGACTAACACTGCAGTTAGGGAGAGGATTCCAGAATTTTGACCCAGTGACAGTGAAGGAACGGTGCTGTATTTCCAAATGAGGATGGTGAGTGGCTTGGAGGGGAACTTGGAGGTGGTGGTGTTCCCATATATCTGCTGTCTTTGTCCTTCTAGATGGAGGTGGTTGTGGGTTTGGAAGGTGTTCTTTTTGGCTCTCCAGGACTTTCTGTTCTTTGATGTGTTTTTATCAGTTATTTTTCACTTCTTCACAGGAGACCTTGCATTTTAACTATATTAACTAGGTCTACTGGATCTCATAGAAACCTATAAACCTCAAAAGGGACTGAACAGGATACATGCAGGAAGGATCTTCCTGATTGCAGGCAGTCCAGGACCAGCGTTCATAGTCTAAGGACTATTTTGGACTGAGATGAGAAGAAATTTCTTCATCCAAAGAGTGGTGAATCTGTGGAACTAGCTACCACAGGAAGCAGTCAAGGCAAAAACATTATATGATTTCAAGAAGGAGGTTGATAAAGTGCTTGGGCTAAAGGGATCCAAAGATACGGGGGAAAGGTAGGAACAGGCTATTGAGTTGAATGATCAGCCATGATCATCATGAATGGTGGTTGTCATCAGACTGACGTTCTTTAGCATCCATGTCTCGTCATAAATGCTCAAAACTACCAGCTACCTGTTGCTAGTCAAAGCTCTCACTGCATCCCCTGCCGCCCCAAAATTATCACATCATCTACAAACTGCTTCCCCCACTTCTTGAATAAAGAAACAACGCAAACATCACTGAGTTTAAGTAACTCCTTTTTAGAAATGCAGCAATTATTTACACATACCTTTGATTTGTAAGAAACACAGAATGGATGGTTCACTTGGAAAAAATCTCTGCCTTAGCAATTTAAAAGTCACAGCTCACATGCAACTGCTGCAGGAAAAGCACTGGGACAACAACACCAGCAGACACTCCAATATCTTTGTCTCTCTGTGTCTGTGTCTATGTAACTTGTTTTCAGCTCCAATGTGTTCAGTTAGCTGAGAATCACTTGTAAACACTCCTCGGCTCCTGATCACCTGCCCATTGCAGGAACCCACAGCCACAAGAGCAGAGTGGCTTACAAATACAAGAGATACAGTATTCCTTGTTGTGAAATTTTGCAGCCATCCTGGTAATCCCTGTTTTTAAAAACAATTCTTTCTTATTACAGAATATTGTTTTTAAAGACACAAAAATAAAAAGACACTGCTTACATGCCCCCATCCTTAAGGGGATGAAACACCATTTTTAAGAATGTAATTCATTACAAATATGTAAGACTAAAACAGCAAAAGAAGACTTAGATCTATTCATTATTCATCTTGCACCCCTCCCTTTCATTCAAGCTTGCACAGTCTCAGAGATGCTTACATTTTATCTTCTAAGATTTTACTTTCAGGATCAAAAAAAAAGTTGCTGGAAAAGCTCAGCAGGTCTGGCAGCATCTGTGGAGGAGAAAAC